GGGTACTGCCTATATTTTATACAGGGATGTAATTATTTTTAAAATAGATGTTCACATTTTGAGAGAAGCTAAGTTTTAAATAACAAATTATTGAGCCCATAAAGTAAGGTTTTAAAACATTTGGCATGACTTCAACAAATAAATTTTGAGGAACAAGATAAAAAGAAATGGAGTGTGAACTAATATATTAAGAGTCTTAAGAGACCTATCAACCAACCATAATATATTTAATAGAAACCTGATTCAAACCAACTAAAGGTTAAAAATTAAATTATGAGATAATCGGATCCAAAGTTAAAAACCAAGTGGATCTTGAATGACATTAAGAAATTATTGTTTGCTTTGACTTTGGGTGGTGGATGCAATATACAGATCATTATCATAGAACTGTACACTTGAAACCTATATGATATTAATGACTGTTACCCCAATAAATTTAATACAAAAAGTAATAAAATAAAATGGAAAAAAAATACCTTTTGATTTTTCTTAGGTGTGGTAGTGGTATTTTGCTTATATTCTTAATTCTGTATCTTTTAGAGTTTTACACAAAATATTAACAGATGATATGATGTAATCTTTGAGATTTTGTTCAAAATGATTCTGGGTGTATATAGGAAATGAATGGTTGTTACAGAGTAAAATAAATTGGTCATATGTTGACAGGTTTTGAAGCTAGGTGATGAGTATATAAGTGTTTATAATATTATCCTCTTTATTTTTGTGTGTATTTCAAATTTTCCTTAATTAAAAGTTTTTTTCTTAAGTCATGCTGGTGAAACTATAGAAGAAATGTTGAAAACATTCTATTTTTGACCTTTTAAGAAAAAAGTGGCATGAAATGAAATGCTGTCATACTTTGTTCCCTAAATGCTTTAATTGGTAAGTTTTATTTAAATATTTTTACTATGTATATTACTGAATTCCCAGTTGACTAAGTCAACATATTAAATGGTGAGATCATGATCTTGTCAATATTTTAAAACTTTACTGATTTTATTGATTATATGTTCCTCGTAGATATAGTATTTAGTTTGATAAGTTATAGAACTCCAGTCCTATATAATAAAAGGCTAATATGCAAACCAACCGAACAGTGGAACGAGCGGTCGCTATGACACGCACTGACCACCAGGGGGCAGACACTCAACATAAGAGCTGCCCCTGGATGGTCAGTGCGCTCCCACAGGGGGAGCGCCA